GCATAATACCATAACTCAGCCCACACTGTACCATCTCATGGGACACTTTGCTCTCAGCAAGATATATTATGTTCCTGCCATTCCTGTGATCTACCAAACATGCAATTCTATTACCTAACCCTGCAGTGGATGGTAGTAATCAATTTACACTACTGTGGAAGCTCACAAACAAACTGCTTCAAGAGGAGACAGTGTAGGCTTATCGATAATATTTCATGCCATATCAACCTTATCTTCTGTTGTCTCCGAGTTAGTGGCTTCAAAGAACTTGGGGATGCTATTGACATAGCATATTTTGAATCCTCACGTTGTTGTGATGATAAAATGAGGAGAACCGTGTCTGCTACTCTAAGCTATCAGGAGAAAAAGTATGAGAAAAATGCCTTTAATAGACTAGAGCACACTGTAGAACACAACAGCCTAATCTAGGCCACTTCAAATTTTCAGGTAAGAGCTACTCTCCACTGAATAAATATGACAGATGTTACAGAAAGGAGCTGCTTTCTCCTTTTTCAACCATCCACGCTGATTCTTCTCTTTAGTGCCATTCAACAGAAGACAGGCGAAAAGTTTTGTGCTTGTGACTTTTACACTCATTTTCCATGTTTTAAATATGGCAGGCATACCAGTCAAATTGTATACACATGGACTAATTTTTCAGAAAAGAAGAAAAACTGCGTAAGACGTGTCCTTTCACTATCTGCTGCACTGTGAAAGGGCAAGAGGTGCCTGAGTAGCTGCTAGACCATCTTCCCACATACTTTGCTGCTGCCCAAAGAGGCTACCAGGTTGTAAAGACCTAAGGAAGAAAAGTGAGGAGCAGTATGAGGGGACAGCGTACAGGACAGTCTTTCCCAGCTTGCTGCCCTCCAGATGTGTTGGAACAACAGCTTCCATTATCCCTAGATAGCATTACCACTGGTCCTCCTGGTTTTGGATGCTGGTTTTTGGTGTCCTTTATCTCTTGATCCCTTAACTTTGTCTTGTGATTGAACCACCACACTACCAAATATGACTCTGCTTTTAAGAGTGCATTTCTGCTACCTTCTCTGTTTTGACGATGGCTTCACCTCAGTCTTTCTTCTGGAAACCCCCTTCTAATCCCCTTCACCACTGCTTGCATGTCAACTACTTCTGCCTCTTAAACTCATCCCATACAGGACCGATAGCACTGTGCTTGACTATCAGTCTGCCTAATTGAAACACAGAAACAGAGCGAGTCAGAAAGGGCCTCCCGGACCATCTAGTCTGACCTCCAGCTCCAGCCGGCTCTGCTCACGACATGCCCACCCTGCTTGTTGGATTTTCCTTTTTATTTGTTTCGCACAGGCTCTGACCAAGCTATAGTAGGCTGTTATAATAACGAAGGGTCCAATATTTAGAATAAATTGATAGCAAAAAAGTAATCAGCCAAAAAGCTGTCTTGATTAAACCTGGCAGAAGATCCAAATGATTTTAATACAATTACTCACAAAAACAGCCAACAGCAAACATGATTTTAAAAGAAGCACTTCTTCTTGTCTCTCACTCACATCTCATTTGGAATGCTTATTCTTATTGTTATTAATATACTTTCAGCCCAGCTTTATACATATTTTCATTTTATAGTCACTCACATTATTATTCCAATCAATTGATATTTATATTGCATTTCACACTGCCAAACCTTTCCTCCAGACAGTGTTCCCTAATAAATCATAAGACTGCATCTTGTCCTGCACTTTATTATTCCAAAATGTGATGAAAACAGACAACTTTTAAATTAAACTTTCATTTCTCTGCCCCTCTCTAATTATAATAATGTTTGTGAGCTTCAACATAAATTCCGGTTCCCAGACTCTCACAATCCATTTCTTATTGAAAGGGTGTCTTTTTATTTCCATTTATAATTGATTGCAGTTCTCATAGTCATTAGCAAGTTAATGATCATTTCACACTCTTCCTAAGGTACCTCATTCTTTATATATCCAAAAAGAACAACAGATGGTTCATACCTCAGATTATCATTATTAGATCCTATCATTTCATTATTCCTTGCTATCCTTTCTCAAAAGAACTTAATATTTCTTAATTAAGGACAATCTCAAAAGATATGTTCTCTGCTTTCACACATCTGCATTTCCAACATCTGTACTTGGATATGTATGACTCAATATTTTTGATGTCAGGGACCATCTAAAAATGAGCTTATTAAAACTCACCTTTAGATTATACCTGATTTCTTAGTTTCCAGTTTCTTGCTCCCAGATCCATTTCAGGGACTATAGTGAAAATTTGTGATCTAAATCTCTATATTGTTTTTCACTAGTGTGCAAATTTTATATTAGTTGATCAAGTAAAATCTCATATGATCAGATCAGATAGAAATTTCTTAAGCTGAAATGTCTTAGACTTGCCACCCTAATGGGAAATCTTCATAACAAGAGTGGGGCAGTTGTCCTACTTGCCACCCATCAGACTGTGCATCACAAAACAATGGCATCTAATGCAACGCAAGAGGCAAATTTAAACGTATCAGCTACTTGAAAAGCAATTTCCTTGAGAACAAGTTTCATCAAACCTAGTGAAAAACATCTTGATGTATGTATACACAATGCTAACAATTGGTTCCACATAGTGGCTAGAAGACAAACCTACAAATCATGTTCCCCAGCAACTGGCACATTTAGGCACTCTGCCTCTGATACTGAAGATGGCCTATAGCCATTGGGACTGGTAGAACTGGATATCATTATCTTCCGTGGATTTCTCCAATGGAAGTACAGTAATACAACCGCATAAAATATTTCAAGTGTGGTTGCATCATAAACTTCTACAGGGACAATATAATGCTGGCAGCTTTTTATTTCTTTTGTAACCAATCCAACAGCGTGGAGTTTAGCTTTTCCACAGCAGCTACAGACTCAGATAACATTTCCAGTGACCTGTCCACCAAAACCACCAGATCTCTCTCTCTCCCTTTTGGTCTCTGCCTGCTCAGATGCCATGAGCTCATGCATGAAGCATTGGTTAGATTGGGTTGGGTTGGGCTGGTTTGCTCATGAAGAATCACTCATAATTTGGGGTCAGCAAATTTGGCCAGCTCATTGTTTGCTCCTAATTCCAATTATTTATGAACATATTTTATCTTATCTAAGGTAGCTGTTTTCCAGGAAGGAAATCTTGAGAGTTGGTGGGACCTTCTTGCTCACAGCTTCCATTCTTAAACACTAAGCCACAACAGCTCAAATTTAATGGAATATTAGAAAAGAAAAACACTGCAAAAACACATTAAGAGTGCAATCACGTGAATATTTATTTAAGAAGCAAATCCCTACGATTAAATCCTAACATTTGGTATACACGGGTTGTGTCCTATCCTCTGCAAAGAAAGAAGTTATTTCATGGAATTAAGTGTTTCTAATATCCTTTGTATTAAAGGATCTCTAGAGCAAAACTATATGTCTCCTTAAGAAAAACAGGGTATCTAAGGAAGACTTGCTGGGTTGGGAGTCTTGACTACAGCTAATCCCTTTCCTCAAGCGTTATTTTCCCACCTACCCCTTTTTCAGTAGCTGTTTACAGCATGTCACATTTAGTAGGCAGGAAGTATAATGCAAAGAGTTCTGCTGCTGTGAGAGGCAATAAAAAGCCCATGCCTTTTGCACCTGATTAAATATTAGCTTTTTTTGAACAATAAGCAAGTCTGACTAAACAAAGTCAGCTGACAGTAAGTCAATTAATGAATATGCAGTGACCTTCCTTATCAAGTTATGTCGGAGAAAAATATAACTAGAAGATCTGTGAAGTGCTCCAGGCCAATCTCTGCATATAGCACACAATCCATTAATTTCCTGAAATTTTAGTTCCTTTTCTTGAAAGAGAAGGCTTCCAAATCTGTTTTTGCCTTCAAGGTCTGTGCAGAAAGTGAAAAAACTTCAGCACTGGTGTGTAAAAGGCTCAAAATGACCATTCAATCCCTTCAATTTATTTATTATTTTTATTTATTAAAAGCTTTTCTAACCCATTCACTACAAACATCTTGGAACAGCTTACAATAAATTCCTTTCCTTTCCTTCAATTCCTTTCAGTTCCTCTCCTAAGCCCATGATGGCCCTCATCTTCAGGAATATATCCAGTTTTAAACTCAGGCTAGAACTTTAAAGCAATCAGAACATACAGTTACTATATGCTCACAGACAGTGTTGTCTTCTCTTCAACCTGAGCCATTGAGTACAACTTACCATTAATACCATAATGCTTTGTTTCCCTGCCACCCAGAATTGGCTCCTGCTGACAGAACAGGGAAGCACCCAAGTCCCACATTCACAATAATGCCTGGCCTAACTTCTGTCTTAAGGAGTCACCATCTCTCACCATGTGATCGATCATACAGTGCCACAGAGATCCCACGGCCCCTCTTTGGCTCCTGCAATGCAGCCCTGGCACAAGGGGAGCAGCTTCCATTGCCAGTAAAGCTTTGCTCAGAATAGCACACCCAGCTCCTAACACTTTGTTCCCCCCAAAAAACTCCAGGGCAGAATATGATTTTCCACTAATGAGTAGACCCCTGTTCATAGATCATTTAGTAAATGGTCCTCTATTCTGTTGATAAAAATGTGAACCTAAGTGTACATTATTATTATTATAATTTGCAGCCCTCCTCAAAGTGCTTTTTCCAAGAAATGTTCAGAGGATGGCAAGAAGTGAGAAGCCCTTTCAGTGGTGGCCTCCAGCCATGATATGCTCTCTCCATTTGGTGTCCACACTGTCCTCTTTTTGGTTCCACTGTCTTCTGGTCTCAGGCATATCAAGGCATACGATGGACTTTTTATTTAGCAGTTGTTTTGGTTATGGTTTTATGCAGTTTTGACATTTTTAATGGAAATTCTCCTCGTTATTTTATTTTTGGCATTTTTAAGTAAGTCTCCTTGGCTCTTTTCAAAGATAAAAATGACTAGGCTGTAACAGCAACAACAACACCTCATAGCTACATTGAAGCCTCTGGAATTGACACTTACTTGAGCAAGTTCGTCTACCCCACTCGCTGTTCTCACCAGTCTCACTAGGTCTTCTTGCATCTTATCCACCCACCGCTTTATCCTACAGAAATAAAAGAAGAAGGTGTGATAAGAACAACACAGAAGAGAGAAAAAGAGACGTCCCATCAGATCAGATCAATGGAAAATCACTGTGAAGATCACAAGTGTAAATACAGGCTGACAGATTATTTTCTGTGTGGCAAATTGATGCTGAAGTCCCTTTGATATTGCTGTGAATCTGTTCAAGTCACACTTTTCCACTCCATTCCCTTGCTTGGTCACTCTCACAGAAACTTTTCATGTCATTTTTTCAGGTTTAACTTGGATAAGAGAAGCTACATGCTAACTCCCTAACCCTGAAAAAGGATGCTAAGAGATAACAAGCTACTTGATAATGCCAAGCTGTCTCATGTTTTAACATTTGCCCAGCTCATGTCAACAAAACATGTCGGACTTCCTGGATAACAGTCAGCAATGCTCAACTGTAAAAGTGATGGCATCCAAATAGTTTCATTCCTTGCACAAGCCCTTCACAGTCTTACACATGAGAATTGCTCAGCCAGCTCAGGCCCAGGATCAGTCTACCATATATACTGGCGTATAAGACAGCCCGAGACCAGAACTAGTGAAGCAAAAATTGGGGGTCACATTTTTTTTCTAGAGATAGTCACTGTTTTTTTCTAGTAATACATCCATATATACTGGAGTATAAGAGGACCCTTGAAACCGGAAATTGGACTTTGAAAGTAAAATTGAAAGCAAAAATTTGGGGTCATGTTATATGCCCAACATATGACACACGCCAGAGAAAACAGCCCAAAATATTGATCTCGTTTTATATATGAGTTTCCTTATACACCAATATATACTTTAGTTGCAATCCAGTATTACATTTTAAGGGTGGCTAGCCGTGCATTATAAGGAACTTCCTAAACCATGACACAAACAGGCTATGTTTGCCCCAGCATCCAAAAGTACACTTTCTCTTACGGAATCTCCTCCTATTTACTTGCTTACTACATTTTTATGCATCCAAGGCTGTGAAAATAAAAGCCCTAAATTAAATGTACATGGTTTTAAGCCTTCAAAGGCACTTCTAATAATCTGTCCTATTACTATTCTACTAATGTACTCTAATAATATTAATCTCCTTGGACTGCTCTAATTTGTAGGATCAGAAAAGCAGAAGAAAAAATTATCCATTCTTTGCAGTATTCATACTTATATAAGCTAAAAATTAATCAAAATTCTCAAGAAGTTGGCCCAACCCATTGATCCTTTTTCAGACAGAGGCAAAGCAGAACAGTGCATGATATACTAAAATGTAGCCCCATCATAATTTTATATAATGGCATTAAAACACTTATCATTTCAGTTTAGCTCTGTGCAGGTCTTACAAATACAGTGGCTCACGAACTTAATCTGTTCCAGGACTCTAGTCATGACCCAAATTCGTTGTGAGTCAAGTTAAATTTCCCCATATGGTTCAATATAAATAAGGTTAATCCATTCTGTACCTTTTTTTTTAATCAGAACAATGTGAAGAAACAAAGTGACAAAGAACAACAAAGATTGCAGCCATCTCCCCCCCCCCCACACACACACACACTGAGCATGAGCTCAGCCATCTCCCCATGTTCCCCAGCACGACTGCGATCGTGCCCCTCATCCCGGCACGCCCATCATCCCAGCACGCTTGGGGGAGGGGGAGACGGGCACGAACACGGGCATGCTGGGGGGGAGAGACAAGTGCGATCGTGCTGGGGGGGAGATGGCGGTTGCTCCTGCAGGAAAGACTGGCATGATTGCGGCCATCTCCCCCCCTGCCCCCAGCATGATCGCAGCCATCTCCCCCACTCGGGGGGATGGGAAGATGGCCACAATCACAGTCACCACCCAATTGAGAGTTCACAACCTGAGTCAAAATTTTTATGAAATTTTTGTTCGCGACCCGATTTGGTCTTGAACTGAGGCGTTCATGAGGCAAGGTATCACTGCAATGAAAACAAATGAGAGGATTGAAAAATAGAGTCCACATGGGCTAGTACATGCATAGCCATGTTTGTGGAGTCACTGGGGATCATCCAGTTGTCCAGCAACAGTAGCCAGCTCTTTGAATGGCTCACAAACTCTGGGAGTGAAGGAGGAGGCAGGACTGATGGAAAGAAGAAAAGCCCCATCGCTTGATACTGTGGTGGGAAAAGTGTGAGAAGAACTGAGTGAAAAGGGTTCCAGAAGGGTAACTGGGCAGAAGAGATAATAAAGGGTATGAGAATAGTGACAACGAATGAATAGTGGGCTCACTAGCAGGTCAAAGAAGCACAGGAAGCTAAAAGAGACTTTCCAGTAGGGTTTGTTGAAGCCAGGAAAACATAAAGACTTCTCAGTTCCATAGCAAACTTTGTACCAGATCATTCTAAGTCTACAACTAATTTGTGTCTGGCATCATTGAGTAAATAACCTCTCTAATTCTATAGCTGCTTACCTGCTGCTCTGGGGCAGTCACCCAAATCCTGCATCTGTTTACCTGCTCTGTGGATCTACATCCTGATACTTACCTGTATTGCACTGTGGAATTCCATCCTGGCCTTATTTACTCTGTCATCTAGCTAGTATCCATTCTAGTCTTGCAGCTATTTACCTTACTCTATGAGCACCCATCTGGATCCTGTAACCACTTACTAGTACTATTCTGGGGACTTTCCAGCTTAACCTAGAGCAATTAATAGCAAACCCTAAAAAGTGACCCTGATCCTTCATGGGATCTTACAAGAATCAATACAATTGATAGCTGCTGGATTTACATGCTTGCATTATTCCTTTGGGATGAAGACTCTGGGAAATGTGATTCCTGGGGGAGGAGGGAATACCCCACATGACAATATGTCCACTTCACACTTAATATTTTAAAAAGCCTTCATAGGGCTTTTCTTTCTTAACCATTTCTAACCCTTTATTTGCCTTTGAACAATGAGTGGACATTTTCCAAGATCTGTCCACCATGTCGACAGGTTCTCTTTCCTGGACAATAACAGCTAATTCAAACCCCATCAACTTACAGATAAAGTTGGGATTCCTTCACTATGGTTTATGGAGCACAACAGTAAACCACATATAAATAAATCCAAACATTACTACTGGATACTGTTCATTTGGTAAAAAGCCAGCCATGAATTTTCTAAACTTGTCCAAGAGGAGTGACCTGAAACTTTTGCTTGTTAATTAATGGCAATTCAAGGAGGGCTGTTGCATGTTGATTAGAGAACACATACAATTATAGTTGAAAATGAATATGAATATTTTGGTAATAAAATAAAGGTATTTGCAGATTCCTTTCCCATTTATAAAATTCTAATGGATAGCTCATCTGCATTCGAACTACATCTGAACTGTGTAGGAGTTTCTAGCAGACATGTGCTGCTTCTCATAAGTGTTTCTAAAATACCAAACTTTCTTTTGGGATACATTTATTGAATTTTTTTTAAATGCTCATTAAATGATCATGCACCACTTGAACTCAGGGGGATTAAAATGCTCTTCATCAGAATGCCAAGCTTCCTCTAGAATCAAGGAAAGAACAATAAAGAAGAGGAAGCTAAGGATCCCGTTGCTTTCATGTGTCAAGAGAGAAAAATAGGAGGGGAAGGAAAAACAAGAACCCTCTGGGCACCCAAATGCTTGTCTGGTGTTTCGTTCAATGCTAGCCTGTGGTGTATATCTGCCTGACAGCTGCTCATGGTCAGAGTTTATTTAACAACAAGAATAATGTCACACCAAACGTGAAGTCTGGGGCCTTAAGGAGACAAGCACTATGTTCCTAGCTGCTCTTTAGAATATCAGCTAAACAAAGGTTCAGGCAAAGGGGATTTTTCCCTCCTGTCTGTTCAAGTGGAACATTAAACTGCAATGAAAGCCACGTCAAAAGAAAGAAAATCCATAAGATTCACTTTCCAGGGCAGAGAGAGATGACACATTAAAATGACCAAAAAACCAAAAACCCTACTACACAATGCAAAGCTGGTAACCAGGGCCCCTTGCAAGTTAGAAACAAGTTAAAAGGAAAAGTACATGGAGATCTTTTTCAGTCTTCCCAACTCAGTGGCATCTGGATGAGTTGGAGGACTGTTCTCATCCCCACTCATTTGGGGATTAATCATGACAGGATTTCAGGAGGATGTCCTAAAATATGCATGAAAATACTGGGCACAGAAACAGAAAGAAGAAACACAGGCTCACTCACTCACATCCAAAAAGAGATTTATCATACTCAAACATGAAAGACAACGGTCTAAATTAGATGGGCATTTGTTTGTCTATCAAAATGCTCCACAGCTTGCAAAAAGGGACTGGTGTTTATTGTGCAGCTTTGTTTTGTTTTTGTTTCTTAACTGATTGAGCAAAATAACCTTACTCACAATCATACATTCTCACTGAAAGTTAGCAAGCATGAGCACAGAGACATCATTTCAGATATTCAAGGGTGAGAAAGAATATTACATAACAAAATATAACAGGGGCAGCCAGGTTTAAAGAGCCACTTTTTGATCTTTACATTTCACTTCTTCTTTCCCAATTAAGATTAATGAAGCACATATTATGAATCTCAAGGAAATTTTCTGTTTTATACCGGTTTCTGATTCACTTCTGGACTCTCTTCATTGTCCTAGTTTTAAATTTTAAAGCCCTTCATGGCCTGGAATCAACCAAAATGCCTATCAGCTGGAGCCCACAGGCCAGCTGATGTGAGGCCAGCCGTCACCACATGCTCCTTCATTCTTGCAGCTACTATGAATGGTTGCAATCGAATGCACGAAGCAAAGCTAAAAGGTTGCCCATGGGGATACAGCCATATTTTGACTGATTGTCACAACTACTTGGAAAGAAAAGAAAATTTTAAACACTGTGGAACAAGCCACCAGGATTCATTGGTTCAAGCCATGCACATAGTCTGGCAGTAAGCATCCAGTTATCTAGGACTGAGGATGGAGGAGGAATGGAGGCCCATCTGACAGGACCATGAGTCAATAAGGGTAGTCCAACACAGCTAGCATGGAACGGAAC